ACACCAATCCCCATAGAGAAATTCAGTGATTTTACACCACAACAGTTGGGTTGTTGACTCACTGTTATCTGCACTCAGGAGTTCAAACATGTCAGTGTTAAATTTATTTGCAGAGATTTAACTAAGAAACACAAAACCAGCAAAGGAATTCAGCAATACACACATTTAAGCTAAGTCTACATAAGCTAAAGTTGTTGATTTTCTCTTTTGGATCCAGTATTGTTCAGTTGAAGGTTTAAAAATGACACCTTCTAAAGAAGAGGATAGAAAAATTGTGATGTAAATACTAAAAAAAGGGTGGAACAATGTGGTTGCCGTAAAGCACATGAAAACAGAGCGAAGGATCAAGGGTGTAGGTTTATACACAGAGGGTCAGCGCAGGAGCAGGAGACGAAGGGAGGAGGCTGGAGGATATTATCCGTCAGAATCACCCTCTCCTCCCGTCGAGTGATTGATACTAATGCTGCCTCTGGAGGCCCTGAGGGAAACCCCCCTCTACCTCCGTCCTCCCTTGTCCTACCCTCACTGCAGGCATGGCTTCATCCATTCATCCATCTATCCATCCATCCACTTCTGCTCCCAGCTCCTCTCTCCTACGTCCGTGGTCCTTCCACTGTTTTTTCTCCTCAGTGACCTGCCCCAGGCTCGACAGTGATGGAGAGAGGCCGTGTACATCAGAGACGCCGGTGGTGAGTAGAAGAGGGGAGTGCAAAAACACTGTCGCAGTTTCGGACTGCTGAAATATTCATCCAGTGTAAGACGGAGGTTTATAGTTTATCACTTACCTAATAGATTAATTCCTTAATATCTTATATTAAGGAATAAATAAATAAAATATTAAACATATTTCTTTACATTCACTTTATTATGTTTCCTAAACAGAAACAAACAACAAGATCAGTAAAAATAGTAATTTATCAAAGGTCAAAGGTCACTGCATTTTCTAGTTTAGATTTTTATTTTGCAAGTGATCAAGACATATTTAGGACAACATTTACCACTGAAATAACTCTCAGCAGGTGTGAGTACTGCAATTTGAAGTAGTTGCAATATGAAAAAAAAGTGCTGCCAAAGTCAGTAGGTTTTTACAAATGACCTGCAATATCACTAATTCTACACATACATTCTTTAATTTTCAGCAAACACTGACATTGTTTTAATGGTTGCATGAAGATGCCATAAGAGTAATAAAAACTTATATTTTGGATGTACTTATATGTAAATACAATTGAAGTACATTTCGAACCTAGAAAAATATGCAATAAAATACTACTAATTGTGAGTTAATTATGGTGAATCATGCTTTTGATCACACTATAATTGACAAAATAGTACTCAGACACAATACACAATATTAATTTATAGATGTGGCCGAGAAAGTATGTGAAATGATTCGAAATAATATTTTGTATGTATTTTAATTTGTTGTATAACATGGTGTACAGCTTTACAGAGCAGGGGTCAGGGGTCTGCCGCACGTTTTTTTCATCCCTTAAAATTCCAGATTCATGTAAATGTCACAGTGACACATCTTAACCCTGGAGGTGATGACTTCTCAGAATGACTGCACCTCCAAGATGCTTCGAGTGATTCCAATGTTTCAGCAGCAGCAGCCATTATTCCTGACTCTGACGGTCAAGTTTGTTAGCCCTCGGTGATGACGCCAACACCGACCAATGCTGCGCCGTTTCATCATAGCCTTAGGAGGAAAAAAAAAGTCATTGTTCGTCATTCCGACAGAGAAAAGACACACAACCGCAGGCGCTGTGTGAAATGTTAAAATGGAGATTAGCCCGGCCGCTGCAGATCTTGCTTACAATGATTAAACATCATGCCTTGCATTTCAATGGGAACACTTGTGGCCAGGGGCAGCTGCGGTAGAGCCGATGTGTTTTAACTCACACATGTAACTTTTAGAGAAGGAAGGAAAGGATTGGAGTGGGCACAACAACCCACAGCGAGAGGTGTTTGTTAAAATATGATAATATTTTCCAGTGAAGATGTTTAGAAATTACTGATTCACCAGAACAGGTGTTACAGGCATTGGTTGTGGAAACAGGAAGTAATAATCTGTTGGTTCACAAAGTGCTAAGAGGTGTTTGACTTCACTTAAGAGAGAAAATACCGAACAAACAAAGAAAATGGATGACAAAGCATTGTGCAAATATACACACAATATTTTTCAAAGTAAAACCTTCAGCTTTAACAGAGCTTCGGCCCAGACAGTGGGTTTATGGATTAATACAATACGGTGCAGCAGCATTCCAAGGAAGTCATTAGGGAATTTTCTCACTTCTTCTAAAAGAGTCATAAACTCTGATCGTCAAAGGTCATGGCTGCCGTAACTGTATGATTAATGACATTCATTTTCCATTTTTCACAGCTACTATTGCTTCCTTTTCTTTTTTTTTTGTATTGTTTTTCTTTTCATGGAGTTTCACTGAAGAAACACTCCAGCCTCAACTCTAAAAATTTACAATTCAAACCAGAGCTACTGCATTTCTGCCTTTTTCTTCACAATCCATTTCTTACTGAGGTGACGCAGCGACGGTTTGGAGCAGGAAGGTGTTGTTGTGGTGGAGTTTATGACGAGAAGATGCTCGAAACTAAAGAAGAGAAAAAGAGAAAAAACAAAAAGCAAAAGAAAAAAGAAAGGAACTCTGTCTGTTGGACTTTTTATTTTTATGGATATTT